GAAAATTTGTGCCCCTCGAAAACTGATGCCCCTGAGTCCAATGCAACACTGGTGAATCACCCTTCACAATGTCCCGCACAATTCCGCCCCTGTCTCTCATATCCCATTGACACAATCTACTATCATCAAGCCCAAGAAACGTAGACTCTGATGGATCCAACTGTGAACTCTTTGTATCATTAGTAATATCTCTCATCGTAATGTCAGCCCCATCCTTCTCAAACTTCCATTCAGTCACAATCTTCCCCGTCTCTATATCAAGTTGTTTAATAGCTGAGGCATGAGGTTTCCCTTCTTTCAATGGACTCATTAACATCATATTTGTCTCCCCCCTCATTAACAGAGCCTTCTTAGTAGCCGAGTTTGAACCAGTTCTAGAACTTCCACTATCAAATCTCACACTAACACCTTTGTTATGAATTCCATGATTAAAATTTTTATAAACCTGCACACCCAAATCGTTAACCAAGAAACTGTTATCCAATGCACCTAAAGTCAAACTCTGCACTCCTCCATTAGCTAACTCCTCAAACTCCTCCAACGTATCTCGACTGCCCTTCACAGGTGTCACGTATTCAGGTGTTTTCCCTGAACCATCATCAGCATCCTCCCACATCGAATCATCAGCAGCCTCAGGCATCACCCACCCAAGAAATTCCTTCCCATAAATTTTCATCTTGTTCTCTTCGGTGGCTTTAAGCCCATATACATTCTCAAACAAGCAGTCTTGAAACTCAGTCACAAACTTCCTATACTCCGAATCACCAAAAAACTTCAATGCCCAGACACCTTTGTTAACAAAATCAACTCTCCTTTGATCTCCAAACATTTTCAATTGAATTTCAGTCGAAACCTTAGCCCTAACTTTGGACCCAACTTTCAAAACCCAAAACCCATCTCCACCATCACCCTCATCATCATCATCATCATCAGAGGCGTTGCCGCCGTCAACTTTTAGGGTCTTGATGAAACTATAAGAAGTAAGCTTATCAGAGACGATCCACTTGGCTTTAGGGGTGTTGCCACCGATATGGAGATAAAGCTTAACAGGGTTTTTAAGATTAGGGTTTAGGGGAGTCGGGTATTTCAGTTTAAGCGATTTGAGTCTGGAATCAACTTCGTCAAGAGAATTTAGGGTTGCTTTCGTACCTCTAGATGAAGAAGAAGAGCTAGTTTCTTGAGCGTCGTCGTATTGAGATGATTCTCCTGATTCTGATTCTTCTTCATAATCAGAGTCTGATATGTAATCCTCGCGACTTTGAGAGGTACCCATGATTGATTGAATTTGAGAAAAACAAAGTACTATGTTGTTCCCAAAATTTCAAAATAAAAATATCTTGCCTTTGCTTTTGCTTTTGCTTTAGACCGAAGAACATTTCAGAAACAGTTATGGACATGCGGGTTATTTATAGAAGGTTTTGTCACCGGTTATTTCCGGTTTATTGTGGTTTGCTCATCCGTGTTTTAAACCAATAACAACCCCTGAATTTTAGATGCTATCCATAAACCCTCTGAGGTTTAGATAATAGCTCAACTGTTATTGAGCCGTTAATATTTTCTCGTAAATTTTAACATAAAGAGATTAAAAATATAAATGAATTTTAACATTTTTAATTAATAGTAAATATTAAATCAAAATGTTGAATAAAATTAAAAATATTAACGTTGGAGTAAGTAGAATTATAAGGGTCACCTCATTAAGAGGGAACATGTTTTGTTAACTTCAAATAACAGTAACGGGTTTATTAATATCAATAAAACCTTAGGGGGTTGTGATTAACCCTATTTTTTATTTTCTTTAATGAGAGATGATTTTTTTTTTTATTTTAGAAATATTTGTATCTACTAATAAATAGGTCAAACTTCAATAAATTTGCAATTTTCTTTTCTACATTCATTAGGAATTTCCGAACATAATTATATGTTAAAATAAATTCAAATATGAGTATATATATTTAATAATTCAAAACTTAAGATATTTGAATTAATAATTAAGTTAGAATTGAACTTATACGTAAACTGTTTTTCATTGTATTTCTATTAGTATAATCTCATGTCATCCTTAAAAGATTAATAGTGTGTTGTAATAAGGCAAAATATAAGGTACTAAATGGATAATATTTTAGGCCACGGGCTATCACCAGTTAGCGTTAATCTAACGCCCTGCCTTTGCTTCACACCGAAGAAAACGATCTCGTGCAAGATATTCCGTGTGCTTTCCATGTTTGGATCCGCGTCTTAAAAGGTTCCACCGTTAAACGCGGTTAAGTATCCAAATCTCCTTCCAGTGTTGTGAAACAGCATTGTATCTCTGAATAGTTAAAGCGATCATAAAATTTGGATAAGTACTTTGAAACATTTTATAAGAAGCCGACAATTTAGCACTGTTTTAAAACTTTGATCAGACCGGCCGATTGGACGGATCCAACCGAGATCTGGTAGCCTCTTCGATTTGGTTTACCATTTTTCACTATTCATAAAATCCCTGATTTGATCGCCAGTGAATGAGGGGCTACCAAGTGTCGGAGTTAAAGGGCTTTTGTAGAGTGGAGACCAATGGTTCAAGAGATGGTATCGAATTGAATTTTGGACGCTGGAATAAACCAGAATTTGGCTGAAAAGTTCAACCCAATATGTGTGTCACAGTTGGCGAATGGGAGGCTACCAAGTGTCGAGGTTAGAGGAGTTTTGTAGAATGGAGGCCAGTGGTTTAGATTCAACCGGATTTTGGCCGAAAAAATCAACCCAATCACAACGGTATACACGAGTTATGACCAACGAACGAAGGGCTACAAAGTTTCGAGTTAGAGGGGTTTTGTAGAGCGGAGGACGATGGTTTAGTTGGTAGTGTCGGATTGAACTTTGGCTATCGGAATTAGCCGAAAAAGTCAAAACCCAAATAGCTCGCAAGGGTGTATTTGCTAGATTTTAAACTTGGAGAGACTAATTGTATTTTTCAAGGGCGTATTTACAAGATTCTAAACTTTTTGGATCACCGGTCAAACCGCCGGTTTAACCGGTCAGATCGGTCAACCCGAGACTCGGTGGCCTTACCAAGTCCCTTAATGGTCGGGTTTTAAAATTACTTACAAATTGTTTCTAATTTTATGCTATGAATAATCTGATTATAATTCAGGTGCTACTACACACATCTTCACTAGAGTTTCTTCCCTCAATAACCTTATCGGCACTATGATAAAAATGTCAAGACTAAACAGAACCCCAAGATTATGACTTCAATTTGTAGAATGATTAATGACGGAGAAAGAGTGAAGCGATGATGGGCATAATAAGGAAAGAAAAAAACATGGAAAAAGGAGGATTCCTATCATTTCTCACAAGGCATCGCGAGCGGCAATCCGGCATGTAATGGCATCTGCGAGTGAGGATATCTTCAGTTTTGAGCCGGATATTTTGTAGCGCTGAAAACAGATTCAAATATTGTTCATGAAACAAGATTTAGATACATTACTAGTTAAATGATTACTTAATTAATTATAATAGAATGTTTATAACATTACATTATAAACATTAGTAATTTATTACATTAGTAGTTTAATACATTATTTAATTAAATGATTATAAATTTAATTAATTATAATATTATATTATAGATTTATATTATGACTACTTAATTAATTATAACATTACATTATAAATATTAGTAATTTACCGCATTAGTTATTAGTACATTACTTAATTAAATGATTACAAATTTAATTTAATTCAAGTATTGCCTAGACATTAGAGGATCTATAAGTCACATTGGACACAAATGAATAAGTAATCAAAAGTTAAAAACTACTAAATGCTGGTTTTCTTAATTTGTTCGAGGTGTATTTGTAAACTTTTAAGGTGTTTTTATCATTTTTTAAATAATAGGGGGTAATTATTTTTTACAGGGTACCCAGGTAAGGAACTGAAACCTACATTTCAGGTTCCGGTTGCTCCAAAATTGCAGGGTACTTGGAACCACTCACCCCTGCAATAATCTTTTCAATTTTTATATTCCTTTAACCGTAATGTCCCTTTTTCCCAGTTTCTCTTCTTCTCTTCTCTTTCTACCCCCTTTCTTCTTCCCCACTTTAACTCCCTTTTCTCCCTCGGCATGTGACAACCCTGCCATGAGAGGAGCTCACTTGGTCACCATGAGCTCCTCCTTTGGCCACCACAAACTCCTCCCTTTGCCACCAACCTAATCTTGTGGTGGTGAGTTGTTGAAGATGGGTTTGTTTTGTGATTATTGAATATGAGTTTTCTAATGGATTTTAGGGTCATTATACATATTTAGTTGATAATGAGTTTTGTGGTGGTTGATGGTGATTTTGGGGTTGGCTTGTGGTGAGGGAATGGGTTTTGTTTACGTAGTTATTGAAGTTAGAGTTCTTGTTGGGTTTTTAGGTGGTTGTTAAAAAATTGGAACAATCACGGTCATCTTAAAGTTAATTTTTTTTTTTTTGTTACGGGGGCTGTTCGGGCCAGCTTATGCGTACCTCGACTCAGGGGTGGATCCAAAGTATGTTGAGGGTAGGCCATGAAATTTAAAAAAAGAAAATATTAATATGTAAATTTTTTCTTTTTGTGACAATTTCAACTAAAAAAACATAATATGAACGTTATATGCAATTAGTTTTTATTTTGGCCCAATCAAACAGAAATTTTTGGATCCGATACTGTCTCGACTAGTCCTCTGACCTTGAAACAAGGCTTCCGAAACAAGGTAAACCCTACAATCTGTGGCCAACAATATTAGCAACCGTTCTTGTGATTCGAATCTAAAACCACAGGGAAAACAAACCCGTTGGCCCCAAGCTTTTACCAATTGGCCAACCCATTGTTAGTTAGTTACTATAGTTCTATTTACTAATTGATCATCTTAAATTTGACTTTTTTCTTTTTCCAAAAATAGTTAAAACCTCTAAAATTGATCAAATTAAGTGTGGACTGGATTAAAATGTTAATTTCAAAATTATAAAAATAATTTAAAAGCCTATATGCATTAATTCACATTGAGTTTTAGTTAATGTAGGATATACAAGTTAAGAGTCTGAAGATGATCACTAACTGAAAAATCTATCTAGCTACAGCAAGAAATCCATGAATTTTGTCGATGGAAATGTTGAGTTGATTGACATTTTTGCTTGCTCCGACCAAAATAATTTGACAGAGCTGGAATAAGGCTTTGAACACATAAAGAAATTTCTTGACCCCAAATTACTCAGCTTCTCATCTGCCTTTAAACCTGGAACCACCATAAATCTCAGTTTATAGACACATGATTTCAAGAAAAAACAGAGTAAAGAACACCATGAACGAGAGTAAAGAACTTACTCTCCAAACAGAACTGGGAGTAATGAAGGGCAAAAAACTGAGGATGGGTGTGCTTCAACAGCGGCCTCCTCTTCTCCTTTAAGTAAATATCAATGGCTGCCTTAATCAAATCGCTCACTGTATTCTCTGGCGAAGTCACCACGTGGACAGGCCCCAAACTTCTTTCTATATGAACATTGAGCAATAGCTTTGTTAACTTCCGGGTCACACCATTCTTCCACGGTGAAGTTAACTTCCCGGCCGCTGAGATAAGCCCACCTCTCCTTCCAACCAGCTGGTCAGAGTATCTTTCTGTGGGAAAGATGTGTAGGTTTCCAGAGTGCTGCCTCCGCCTAAGTTGCGATATAGAATTCATTTGTATCAACTATGAACTGAAGAGACCAAAGGTTGAGATGATAGAGAGAGGAGATATTAATTTGTAGTGGATTTGAATTCTCTTTAACGAATAAAGATTATAGACAGTATTTGCGAAGGTTCGAGGAAAGAGCTTAAAGATATATCGCCCTTGGACATAGACTTTTGCATAAAAAACAAACATCATCGTCATTATTATTATTATTATTATTGTTGTTGATAGTAAGGTTTTAAAACTCGGTCCGGGGTGAGACCGGACAAAGTGGTCAGGTCTCGAGTTGATCGGTTGAATCGGTTTGACTGGCAGGTCAAACCAGTGACATCAGCATATCTAAAGGCTTGAAATCCAACAAAAACACTTCTAAAAATTACATATAAGTCTCTACAGGTTTTAAACCATGTAAAAACACCTCAAACATTACCGTCGACGTTGACAACCCAAACCAAACAGAGTCTGTTTCTGGGGATGACGACACTCGCTATCACCACTAAAACACTCCCTCAGCCTTCAGACCAAAACCCATCTCATCTCTCCCTCGTTCGCTCTGTCAATTGCCGACAATAGCCCCTATTTTGGTAGACCGATTTTTGTCTTTTTCGGTTGATTCACTCATCGGAAATCACTCCCTTCATACCTTTGGACTCATTAGCACTCCCTCTCGAAAAAGCCCAACATAATTGTTGCTGTATGCTCGTCAATCGTCATCCATAATTCTAGAGTTTAGGGTGAATAGTTGAAAGTGATAACCCGGTCCGAAGAAAGCCCCAAGTCCTGGTTCGATTGGTTGAACCGACCGGGCTGGGCCGGGTTTTAAAACCATGATTAGTAGTTTCCGTAGTTATGGAATACAAAAGGGGTTATAATTGTCATTCTCCCAAACTATGTCTTCACAACATATTGAAAAATGGAGCATATCATGAACGATCTTACATGGAGAAAATTCATTTTGAAAACTAGAATAACTTTATGGGAATACATGTGAGGAAGATTCTTGATAAAAATCCAAAGAGCTTTAAAATTAGTTTCACAGGAAACGGTCAATTTAATAAAGGTTTATCAAAAATCATTTATAAACAATAATTTTCAAATGGTAAGGTGAGTGTAATTTTTGGATTCAAAAACACTTATCTAAAATGAGTATGATGAATGTACTTCAAAACTATTCAAGAGATTCATTTACTTTACAAACCTACTCTAAGGAAGTCAACACATTTGATAATGGATTTTCAAGTTCAAAGAGTTTGTATTTAAAAAGGAGAGCATATAAAAACGATCCATATACGTTAACAAGATCACACCTTCTAAAACTAATTAAAAGTATATTTTCATATTTGCAATTCATTTTGTTGATGCAAAAATCTACATCTACCTTAATATCAAGGCAATAATCCATATCAACTATAGATACTTGGTTGACTGTTTGGGAACCGAGCAAGATTTGTGCGTGACTTTGGGTTGTCAATGAGGATAGTCTCGAGTAGTTCGGACTAGATCTGAGTGTATATCGATATTAACCAATGCAATAATTATAGAGAGGTGAGATTTTTAAAATTTTTCGGCCAAATAATAGACAAAGCCTACATCCCCTGATTTTGAGATGAGTGAATACAAGGAATCGTGAGAACAAGTGAGATTGATTACTCCCTTTCTCTCTTTCATCAGTTTCCTCCCTCTTCTTTCTGAACAAGTGAGATATAATGAAGTGAAACAACATTATATCTCTAACAGTAAAAGCAATGATAAAATTTGGGTAAGTACTTTGAAACATTTTATAAGAAGCCAACAATATTATATTAAATGTCATACATCATATTATGTTCACATTAAGCTCAAGGAATAGCTGACTCAAAATTACATACTAATTGTTTCTAATTTTATGCTATGAATAATCTGATTATAATTCAGGTGCTACTACACACATCTTCACTAGAGTTTCTTCCCTCGATAACCTTATTGGCACTATGATAAAAATGCCAAGACTAAATCAGAACCCCAAGATTATGACTTCAATTTGTAGAATGATTAATGATGGAGAAAGCACGAAGCGATGATGGGCATAATAAGGAAAGCAAAAAAAACATGGAAATAGGAGGATGCCTGTCCTTTATCACAAGGCATCGCGAGCGGCAATCCGGCATGTAATAGCATCTGTGAGTGAGGATATCTCCAGTTCTGGGCCAGATATTTTGTAGTGCTGAAAACAGATTCAGATATAGTTTATGAATGGCTGAAGGCAACATTGAGAGAAAGAGTAATATAATATTGAATGAAGCTCAAGATCACCGCACTGACAAACCTTTTTTATCTGGGCTTGATCTGCTTTCCCTTCTAGCTCTTCCAAACCAATTTCCTTCCCATTGACTAGTTTCTCCACAGCTTTCATCTGATGGAATGTCAAATGATTACTATGACAGAATGTCGAATGTCTTAGGAGATACTAATTAACCACAATATTCATGATACAACCTTACCTCATCAGGAGAAGCATTAAAACGAGCAGCAAGGACGTAAGTTGAGCTGTCAGAGATGCCACATCTTTTCAAGGATTCTGTAATCTACTAAGAATTGAAGCTTGCAGTAGTCAAAACAACAGAAAACTTAAATCAAATAGAAGGCAGTCATACAGCAGTGAAAGATAATTACATGCTTAGATCCTGAGTAATTGTAAACAAGCTCGGAATGAAGAGTGCGTGTTGTCAAGGATTCCCGCGACTTGGCAATAAGTGTCTTATGTGCAGCTGCCAGAAGGGGGAAAACATCTGGGATCTGTCTCCAATTTTGAGAAAAACAAAATTACAGAAACGTCAAAAAAGCGCATTACGGAAAGTTGAATGGCGGCAAAAGATAAGGTCCATTTCTTATAAGGAAACATACAAGCAATGCATTGAGAAATGCAACTTCTGGTTCCAGTGTCCCAGCTTGCATAGAATCTAAGAGTTCCCTGCAGGAAAATCGTCTTTCTATTAAAACTTTCAATCCACACATAAATTCAACTCCAATTTTACTTATAATGTTCATTATTAATGCGACAACAGAACTTGTTGCAGGCTTGTCTCCCTTACAAAAGCAAAAATATTCCAAATAAAACATTTCCAAGTCCACTAATTCCAAATTTCCCTAATATGTCCCAATGAAACTTCAGCAAACCCACAAGAAGCATACCAACATAACAAAGACAATAATTAAAACCACAAATACAATAACAAAACCAAAGCACACAGAATCCTTATGCAGATAAATTGTCAAAGTACAAACTTGTTCGTACTATAAGCTTAAACACGTATAACCCAATAACCCACTACTAAAACAAACACAAAAGAACAAATTGAGCTAGTGGGTAATTTTTTCTCCTTGAAAAAGAGTTAAAGTAAAATGATCAAATTCCTTTCTTTTCTTTCCAACAATTTGAGTTAGAGAAAGAGACAGTACTTGGTGTTGGTGACTTCAGTGAAGAGTGAAACAGAGAGAGTGTTTCCATTACTAATGTTGAACACCTTCATGGCTGGCTGCAACCCAAAGTTAACGAATGGCTTCTACTCAGCGAGGAAAAATGACAAAACTCTGAAGGGAAAGTTAGGGTTTTGAAATTAAAGCCCGCTTCAATTGAGTTGCAAATGGGAGCCAAGTCGTTGACTTGTATAAAAACGCAGCGTTTTACACAAGAAATAAAATAGATAAAATATTACGAAAATAACAAAAGGGATTTATTCTGTTTTAATTTTAGTTTGAAATAATTACAATTAATATGAAACAATTACAATTAATCCCCTGACAAGAAATTTTAGTTTACTTTTAAATCATGAGTAAACGACATATTCCCACCTGAGGTTTAGTGAAATCTCAAGTTATTATCCTTAGTTGCATTTATTTCAGATTAATACCCTTAAACTAACACTGTTAGTGACTATTAGAGGTGGTTGGAAACGGTGAATGAGATCGGCAAGTGAACATATGGGTTTTGTAGAGGAGGTTGTGGGGAGTCCGACGGTGGTTTCAGAAATGATTTTAGACTTTGAAATTAGTTGAAAAAACCAAAATCTGTCGACTTTGACGTTACTAATGTGAGCCGTTTTTTTACTAACATGAGCCAATCTTCGGTCGAAGAAAGCATCGGCATACTTTAGCATATTAACATGCACCGTGTTACAGTGAAAAGTTGAAAACCTATTAACATAAAGAAAACGGCGTTACTTTAAGGGTTGGAATCTAGAATAAATGCAATCAAGAATATCAGTTTGAGATTTTGCTAAACCTCGGGTGGGAATTCGTCGTTTTCTCTTAGATCATTGATTAAAACTATGGTGTTATTGAATTTTCAGTTTAATTTGGTGGAGACATTTGTTTGAAACATTTGAAGTTAACAGAAACATAATAGTGTTTGTTTTGATGAGTTTGTGACCTGGTCAAGCTTGTTTCCATGGATTCTCCTATGTTTTCTATCTTCAAGCTCTGCCTTCGACGTGTCAAATTCCAAAACTCTGAACCAGGCAATATCCATCTTTGCCTTCTCTCTTTAAAAAGAAAACAAAGAGGAAAAAGAAACATCATACACACACAAACTCTCAGAGAAAACTTTACATTTCCTTCCCTTCTGGGAAGGTTTTGTTTCTCCTTCAACAATGTCTTTCGCCATCTTCCTTTTATGCCTTGTTACCGTCCCTTTCTGTGTCCATTCTCACCAAACTGAACCGCCTAAAGGTAAAATCTGAACCGCCTCAAATTATATGACTTTATTTCTCAGATAGAATTGAATGATTCTTCTATATCATATTAGTTTACACCAAAATCTGTTCTTATATGCATTGCCACAAAAATGCAGGCTTCACCTTAAGCTGCGGCGATGCAGATGACCGTATGTTAGGTGTACAGAAATTTGTCCCAGATACAGATTTCATCTCTGTTGGTAATGCAACGGCTCTCAAAACACCAGATTTACTGTCAATATTATCCACATTGCGATTCTTTCCGGAAAAGTCAGCTAGGAAATATTGTTATACTTTTCCTGTGATTAAAGGGAAGAAATATTTAGTAAAAACTATATACTATTATGGAGAGTTTGATGGAGGGGAGAAGCCACCTGTTTTTGATCAGATTATTGATGGGACTAAATGGTGCACTGTTAATACCACTGAGGATTATGCCAAGGGACTAAGCTCCTACTATGAGATTTTTGTTGCAGCTGCAGGACACTGCCTTAGTGTTTGCTTTGCTAGGACTCAAAACACTATTTCGCATCCGTTTATATCAGCGATTGAAGTGCAGCCCCTTGATCATTCTGTGTATAATGCCACTGACTTCACCAAGTATGCACTTAGTACTGTTGAAAGGAGTAACTTTGGAGATAAAACTGGAAACATGATTGGGTATGGAAACTTGTTGCTTATTGATTAAATGTTCAACTTACTTTCAGTTTCCTGTAATGTGATGTGAATTGTATTTCTAATGCAAATTCTTGATTATGGAAACATCTGAACCTAGCTTTCCAGATGATAAATTTGACCGACTGTGGCATCCATTTGAGGACAACAATCATATTGTAGATAGCCACCACAATGTGAGCTCAGAAGATTTTTGGAACATGCCACCATTGAAAGCATTTACATCATCAATTACAACAAGCCTGCCAAGAAAGTCACTTGAAATCATGTGGCCACCGGTGTCACTTCCCAGTAGCAAATACTACATTGCACTCTATTTCCAGGACGACCGGAGCCCAGGCCCTCATAGCTGGAGAGTGTTTGATGTTGTTGTAAATGGGGAGGCTTTCTACAAGGGCCTTACCGTCACCACCAAAGGTGTGACTGTTTATGGATGCGAACAGTCATTGTTTGGACAGACTAATATCACCTTGATTCCCAAAGGTGATGTTGGACCGGTAATCAGTGCTGGTGAAATCCTGCAGGTTCTGCCTCTAGGAGGAATTACTCTTCCTGCAGATGGTATGCAATTTCTTTTCACTTCATTGCCAATTTTCAACCATACTGAAGCTTTTATCAGAAAAACATTCTGAACTCATTTATTTGTTCTGTAATACATAGTGGTGGCATTGGAAAATTTGGCAAAAGCGTTTAACAATACACCTTCTGATTGGAGGGGAGATCCATGCTTGCCTTCCCAGAACTCATGGACTGGGGTTGCATGTTCTAATGATAACCCAGCTAGAGTTGTTAACCTGTAAAGTTCCTTTATATTCATTACTTAAAACTACATCTTTCTATAAGCTTTGATATGGTTTAATTTTGGGCGGTTTTGTTTCTTATTATGTGAAGGAATCTTACATGCATGGAGCTGTCAGGGACTCTATCCGAAAGCGTAGCCAATTTAACTGCACTTCAGAATCTGTAAGTAACTTGCCCTTTGTAAAGTTCCTGCAGGTTGACATTAATGGCCATTTTGTTAATCTTTGAAGAGAATACCCGCTTGCAGTTGGCTTGGAGGGAACAAAATCTACGGTTCAATTCCAAATATGAGATCACTGAAGAAGCTACAAACATTGTATGTTCTTTAAAAAATGACATTTCCTTCTTCCTTCATAAGTTTAGAGTAATATGTGAAGAGTTTTTTGGTATTTGTACTTCAATGAAGGCATTTGGAGAACAACCAGTTGACAGGAAAAATCCCACGATGGCTAAGCCAACTTGGGGAGCTTCGTGAGCTGTAAGTTTCTCAAACATTGTTTAGATATTCCAGTTTTGCTCTAACAAGCTAGATTGATGATGACCTGACTTTGATTAACAGATTCCTTCAAAACAACAATCTTGATGGACGAGTTCCTGACGCTTTAAAGAAAAAGAATGGATTATACATTCAGTAAGAACCACCCTCGGCCCTTCTTTTCTTTCGATTACTTAAATAAACAGATTAACTATAAGTTTTCCTCTTCTTTCAGGGTGTCTCCTGGAAATCGTTTCGCAGAATCATAATAATGCTAGAGCTGTTTCTGGAGTTGCACGATAGAATACAAGTTTTGATGGTGGAATAGAAGGAATATTATTGAAGGGACAAACAAGACAGATGGGATTTGTGCCATTTCAGTACTTGGTTGGTTCTGGAGTGGAATATCTGCTTTGTTTCTGTGGCCTCAATGACGGTAACTCCAACCAAGTGCAGCAAATGAAGAACTGAGTCATCGACACACAACACAAGATGACAAGAACATAAAGCGGATACTTTTAGTAAAGCTATCTTCCAATAGTTGTAACAACCGAAGATTGTATTTTATACTTTCTATTTATTAATTTTACATTCTTTTATTCAGTGACGGTGACTGTGTCTGTGTCCCCTAAATTTGGTGCTTGATGTGCCTTTAAGAAGCCATTAGAGAAAGGGAATTTTGTTGGCAATCTTTTCATTATCCAAATAGAGCATAAACACAATTAGAATGATGGAATCCCATTTCTTCATCCATTTGTTTGAGCATAAATTCTGAGTAGAAAAACAAGGCTAAAAGAAATAGTAATGCTAGGTCCAATCTCACAACCTTCTTTTATAACTTTCACGTGACAGTTCGTCTTTGCAAATGAGTAGACGAGACCCATATAAATAGGCGGAAGACATTTTGCAAACTAACCATTGACGAGCTGTCATGTCGGAGGTTGTGAGAAAAGATTGTGAAATTGGGTTGTGAACTTAATATTACTTAGGATAGAAAATCTACTTCTTGTTTATTGAAGTTTTCACTGGGTTTGCTCTCTTTCTCCCTTCATTGAATACTACCTATCAAATTTATGAATTATCTTAGAATATTGGATTTATAGAGTATTCAATGAGTTTTGAGAATTAGTCGAGATATATACAAACTGACTCGAACACCGAAAAAAGTTCTCACTTCAAAATTTACATATTATGCAATTTAATTCCCTCCAAGTCCCCTGGAAATATCAATGAAGTTAACTAGTGATTTGGGACAATACAACAAGTGAAGAACAACATGTGATTTGGGACAAAAGAGAAAGGAGAAGGTGGGTCCCTACCAAATCCGGATAGTAAAAATCCACGTCCAAACTTCAAAAGCTAAAACCTCAGACAGATAGAAGACTGTTCTGATTTTAACAAGAAGAAGAAGTTTTTCAATTTAATGTTCCCAATTACCACCACTTCCTCGCTTTCTTTCCCTTCAACTCCCACTTCCTTTCGCTGCTACGCCGCCTCCGACCTACCCTCCAGCCAGGGTCCCACTTTCCTCAGGTGGCCTCACTTCCCCTTGGCTGCTGATATTAGCATCCGGGTCGGTCCGGAATCATCCGATGGACCCGTTACTGGTGCTGCTGGAATTGGAAACGGCGGCGTTAAAGTTAATGCGAAGGAGAAGAATTGGTCGAGAAATAGAGAGAGTTACTTGACTGATGACAGTGATCCTCTTCCTCTTCCCATGACTTATCCTGATTCTTCTCCTGTTTCTCCTCAGGAGATTGAGAAGCGCTTGCAATGTGACCCAGTATTTCAGGTCTTTAATTAATTTATTTATTTTTTAAACTCTGATTACTTTGTTCTGTTTGTGTATGAGCGCTTGTGTTCTTTAGCTTTATGTTGAGTTATTTTTGGTGGGTAACTTGTGACTGATGTTTTAGAAATTGATAGGAATAAACCTTTTTTATTGGAGTAATTGATAATAAGTAGAGGAAATTCTAGGATTTAGATTTTCTGTTGTTTAGTTTCTAAGTTATGGATGAATATTAACTTCAATATTGGCTGTTAGGAATTGAATTTAAGAGACGAATTACTTAAGGAAAGTTATTCTATCTTCATTATTTTGGGGGCTTTCTTCTATGTGTTGAAATTTGGGAACTTCGGCATGAAAACCTTATTTATTTGAACTGGTCTCCATCTAGAACCTAAGCGCTTGAGTTGATGGAGTGTCAACCTATCCATCCAATGCAGGATTCTTATCCTTCATAAGTGGAATCCAACAGCTCCGGAGGGAGAAATGATTGTAACAAATGACATTCTTATTTACAGTTACAACTTTCCTCCAGTTCCTGAGCAAAATTAGTGCAGGCATGCAGTGGCTGCAAACACTTCTTCCTGTGCAACTAATAGGTTCCTATGTAAAAGTCACATAATAAATTCTCGGTAAAGCAAAAATTGGCTAAGAAATGTATTTATCTAGGTGACTGTTTTGTATCTAATGGTTGGGGTTACACATCAATTGAAACAATTCAACTTCATCGACCTAAGACAATTATTTAGTCTGTTAGGCAGAGCTAATGCTTAGTATCAGGCCAGAAGTTCAGTTTAGACTGCTTGTAACATGTTGGACCAGCATAATCTAAAATACATGGGCATTTGGGACTGTATATCGCTTATAACTATTTTGTCACTATTGTGAGTGTCTTGTTTGTTATTGATGGAGTTTTGGTTTTGATTTATTTCTGCATATGTAGGATTGTAAGGAAGTTGTGTATGAATGGACTGGAAAGTGTCGAAGTTGTCAAGGGTCAGGATATGTCAGCTACTATAATAAAAGAGGGAAAGAGACTGTCTGCAAATGCATACCTTGCCTTGGAATTGGTATTTTCTTCCTCTTCATCACTGGAACCACCATGCTATTTCGATTGAGTGTAATGGAATAAGAAATTGAGTAGTTTTATTCTATGTGGGCTTGAGTTTTAAAACATTAAGAGATTCATGAAGAGTATAGTTTTCTAATACATCTTATTTTACTTTATTGAAATGGGAATAAAACATGAGGATTTAAATGTATCCTCATTAGGATTTTCTTTCAAACTACCTTTATTATTTATTTTATATCTTCTTAATCAATATTGAATGTTATGGAGATAACTTTGTCCATTGAGAAAAGTAGAATATAATGTTACATAGGAAGTTAATCATGATTATCATATTCCATAAGGAGAGCATTTGCCCTATTGTTCTATGGGAAACTAGTCAAGCATGACACCCTAGTCTATCTGTGTTTGCTAGGTATATGAATGCTAGCAGAAGATCCACCTTTATGTACTTAGAAATGCAGAAGAATGTGTTTTGTCCCTGTCATGCACTCTTATTATGAATTCAATTTAAGACTTCTTTCTGCTTTGTTATGGTAATTTTGTTTGATGATTGCTCATATAAATGTGTGTGATATTCTAACTTGACTTGGTTTATCCTCATTCTGAAATACAAATTAAAGTGGATAAGCAACTTGTCTTGGTCTATCTACATTTCGATTGACAAATTAAAATGGATGAGCAAGTATATATCTGGTAGAAAATCATCTCATTCTTGTCAGGAGACTCTTTTCTGTCCTCTTTCGTTGTATTTTTTAGTATGTGATGTGTTTACTTGCTCCCAAATGATATGATCTAGTGCATATATGGACAGATAATCAATATACTAACCTTTATCTTACTGAAAGGTCATTTTAGTTTTTTCTAAAGGCGACTTTGATGTAGCATGGTCCACTACAGCATAGTTTTGCCTTGAAGTGATTATATGTTTACTCACCATAATTTTTCATGATATTTAAATATGTTGAAGTACGTGGACAACTGGTTTTCCATCTCCAATAGTTAGCTTCTCAACCTTGACAAGAGAAGGCTGTGAGTATGAGTATGTTATTTTGTTAACCTTCTAGTGAATAAGGTTTTGAAAACTCCCTGGTCCCCTGCCCTTTCTTTTGGTATGGAGCTCAGTATTGTCAGATAATCTTGGTTTTGAAGATCTCCCATGCAATGAGCTATTGGGCACTGCTTCAAATCTAAGTGTTCCTTTTGCACCTTAAAATACTCATTTTGTTGGCAATCTTGCTTATTTTAATGCTTTCAAAATTCTCTCATTTAGAGAATTTAGTTACTAATCTATGGCAGCCGTGCAACTTGACCTGCTTGAAGCAGAATAACTAATGATTGGTTGATCAAATTTGTTCTACTTATTGGAAGAGTTCCAAAATGTCTGGAAGCTTGCAGTTTAAGAAATCCTTCATCAAATTGGAATCCTTTTTAATCTTTGTGGAGAAATTAAAGGAGGGTTAATATTGTGTTTGCTTGTTAGCTTGTCATCTCCACAAATTGAAGCTTAGACATTTTGTGGTAATCATTGTTAATTTTTTTATAGAACATGCTGTATAGTGGGATCCATATAGGACTCAGAATTAGATTGAGGTAAAAGAAAACTTGTGATTTGATTTTTACGTTGTCATATGCATTTTGAAATAACTGGATTGAAAAACATGGAAAACTAAAAGTAAACCGTCTAGCTAAGATCCATGGAAGTTTAATGGCCCATCATGACTGAGTTTGGTCTGCATCGAAGTTTTGTTAAGGTTTAATATTCTGAGTAGTGCAATTGCTTGGTTGTTGCCCTATATCAAAGGCAGAAGATAATCAGTACCCTATATATGATTTCATTCTCATTGAACTTAGGTGAGAGTGCTGTTTTGAATTTGAGCCCTCTCCAATATGACTGATCATTATCTTTTTCCATTTAGCTGAATCTTTGAATTCCTTGAAGTCTAGGATCAAAGTTGGTATCCTATTTAGGATTCAGTCTATATAATGAATTTAGTTAACAGAAATGCTTGAGATTATGGTAATTGCTACATACTCAATTCAATTTGACTGCTTCTAGTACAGACATTTATTAAAGTTATAGTCTGAGGGTAATAAATGTCTGTTTTTTTCTGAAAACTCTTTGTTTGTTTGGGGGGGCTCTTGGTAAGTTTGATTTCAGCATTGTTCACTAAATCGTTATGGAGGTTGAATTGGATCTTTTTGATGGTCTATTCAAGGAATCTTCTATGTGTTTCAACTTGTTGGATAGACCAGTATGGATTCCATCTCCCTTTAGAGATAAGATCAATTGGAATTTAACTTTTACTTGTGAATATTATCTCCATAAATTTTTGCATCATGGGAGGTGTTGTAATGCACTTTCTTTTATGCTGTATGGTGGAGAGAAATACGAGAATATTTGATGATGTGGAGGTTCTTTTACAAGTTGGATTTATCTTATCTAGAACTTTAATTTGTAGGGTCTTCAGATACTTAATTGGGTGATTATTGTCCAGTCTCAGGATTCCCTTAAGTTGTGCTGTTATTCTTTGTGCCTTTTTGTGTAAATTCCGTGTGCATAACGCTATTGTTAATACCATCTACTTCCTTTCAATATGCATGCGGACTCCGTACACTTGTTAAGGGATCGATGCTTCGTTTTTATTGATAACATATCAGATTCTATGCAAGCAAATCTGTAAATTCTAGAATATGTAAATCTCTACATTCTTCCTGTTGCTTTTTTATGGTTCAAATTACCTTGAATCTATACTCAATGTTGTCATCATCATGGCAGGTTATGTGCAGAAGATAACAGCTCGAAAGGACATTGAAGTAATGGAGGATTTAGATAATGGAAAGCCGCCTTGACCTGAAACTTTTTTTTAAACTTTAACTCGGGAATATGATTCGTTATAACGGAAGAGTTGTATTTTTTCAGCACCTCACTTAATATTCCTATTTTACATTTGTAGACTGTAAAAGGCAAACTCCTTAATTGGAGAAAATGAAAACACACACAAGTAGTAGGTTGTTACCTCAGCAAGGAATGTATTCTTTTCTTAAAGTTCTTTTCTGCAACCATCTTTTTTCTTTATGTATTCTATTTGTTACTTCGGAATCCTTCCAGAATGGTTGCTTTTCAACTTTGAGGAATAAAAGATGACCTCCAATTTGCTTTCTCCTGACGCTATAGAGATTATAAATGCATGCATGCCATCTCTGTCGTTCTGCAATTCAGAAGACCTGGTACATCTTATTGTACTCTTGACACAGATTTTTTGTCGTTGCGAAAACAAAAGTAGACATGGCAAAGGTAAGCTTTCTCGATTTCCAGTACAAGATTTCGAAGAATAAGTTTCTGCGGAAGCCATCTCGGCTACTTTCTCGAGACAGGCAAAATTCTGGCTTGTTACCCACATTCATGCCAAACAGAAATGAGATGAAAAAAGTGTTTGATAAATTTGATTCCAACAAAGATGGGAAAATATCCCAGTCGGAGTACAAGGTGATTCTGAGAGCTCTAGGACAGGGAAACATAATTGCAGAAGTTCCGAAAATCTTCCAGGCGGTTGATCAGGATGGAGATGGTTATATTGACTTTAAAGAGTTTATGGAAATACACAAGAAGGGAGGAGGGGTTAGAACAATGGACATACAGAGTGCATTTCGGGCATTTGATATGAACCACGATGGGAAGATAAGTGCAGAAGAAATCATGGAAATTTTAAGGAGACTTGGAGAGAGTTGCAGCCTGGAGGATTGCAGGAAAATGGTTAGAGCAGTAGACACTGATGGCGATGGTATGGTTAATATGGATGAGTTCATGACCATGATGACTCGCACCACGAACGATGGCTAGACAAGCTTTTCTTGTTTGTGATTCTTTACCAGAAAAGAAATTGCTGCCATGATTAAGAATACTTTTATTATATATTCCCCATTACAAAAAATATTGTAAAGCAATAGCAAAAAAAATGGTGGGCATTCTGTAAACTGATGCATATTCGTTTGGCACTCAATCTTCAACTTCCTGTCCTGTAATAAATAATAAAGTTGTTTAAATTTGACCTCTTTTCACTTGATGACGCACTTTCTCATTTTCCCATTTGTTGCTGAGAACTTGGGCACAACATAATGGGAATCAAATATACTAGAAGTATATTCACCGAAAAAGGTGGGATTAACTATCTTTAAGTAGTTTGACGGTTTATTTGAGACTGTTAGGTGTATTATTTAAAAAGTTATGAGTTTGAATCTATACGATTACTAATAAGAGATAGTCACTGGAGGCTTACCTAACCGTTAACTTCAGGGCTCCAGGGTAATTTTCTTTGAGTTACCCATGAGAAAATAAGCAATACGAGATCTGTGCCTGTTTCACCAAGCCAGTGTCTAACTGACCACAATTGGGTCTACGAGGTGAAAACATAACCTTCATTTACACTACTATGGTTTATGAAAATAGACAATACATAATTTAAATGAAGAATATTCGTCAACGGCAATTCACTTTTACAATTGAAGGCAGTTTAAATACGTTCAACCTGATACATAGATCTATGATTCTGAAAATTTGAACACAGAATGACAGAAATACAATTACAGGAAACACACAAAGTTGATCCTGTACTAAGTATCTAGCATAGAATCAGTAGTTATAGCAATGCGTAAATTCCTTTGAATATGCATGCGGACTCCATACACTTGTTAAAGGATCGATGCTTCGTTTTTACTGATAACATATCAGATTCTATGCAAGCAAATCTGTAAATTCTAGAATATGAAAATCTCTACTTTCTTCCTGTTGCGTTTTTATGGTTCAAATTACCTTGAATCTATACTCAATGTTGTCATCATCATCGCAGGTTATGTGCAGAAGATAACAGCTCGGAAGGACATTGAAGTAATGGAGGATTTAGATAGTGGAAAGCCGCCTTGACCTGAAACTTTTATTTTAACTTTAACTCGGGAATATGATCTATTATAACAAAAGAGTTGTATTTTTTCACCACCTCACTCAATATTCTTGTTTTACATTTATAGACTGTAAAAGGCAAAGTCCTTAATTGGAGAAAATGATAACACACACAAGTAATAGGTGTATGGGCAAAAAATCGTCTTGGCCTGACGAGACCCAATAACAAAATAAACATGTCACGGCCCAAGGTCTTAGCCTAATCTCAGTTGGGTCTACGCTTAAATTCACCTTGTGAACTGTTCACTCTATGAGTTGGGCTATCCTATAAATCAAGCTAAAACCGGGTTTCAGCCAATTAGGCTACAACAGTCCATAAATAGGAAATCAGAATCTCATTCTATTTCCTCTTCTGCTAAGATCCTGAATCTTATTGAAACTAGTAAACCCAATATGATAAGGACAAGAAATATCTTTCTTTCCTGGGGATTATCTCCTAAAGTAGGACTTAATGTCCCACTAGGATTCCAACCTCTTGGGTTTAATATATAAACAGAGGTCTGACCTCTCATAATTCATTCAATATCAATATTCAATACTCAAAACCACCTACTTGCACCTAAGTTTTTGCTCTCGATTAAGGTTTGATAAAAATGCAGCACACTCGTCAGTGTATACTTTGACTTTTCCAGTGGCGGAGTCTTTGATGTGCTGGTCATTTGAATGCTCTTTAAACTTGGGTTTTGCTTCTTCTACTTCGTTTTCTTCAGCTAAGTTCTGTGCTCGTCCCTTTTCTTTCCCATGCACTTTGTTTGGGTTTTGGAGTAATACCTTCTTTCTAGCTAATATACTTGGGAAATATAATACGATAAAAACACATAAGCATACAAGAAAAGTCTCATGTACATAAGCTCAAAAATAGTAGATAGTGGTGCCATTCCCCTCCGCTTCTCGACGTCCATCTGACCACTTCTCACCTATTTCTAGCAAAAACAAAGAAATCAACGGAGTGAGCACTAATTGCTCAGTAAGTAAATCCCCTACACTAATCTTCTATCTCTGTTGCTCATATTCTAAATTCTTTCCTTACTCAGCTCTTTTTCTTCTTCTTCATTCTCTCTTTGTTCATTCTCTTTTCTTTCACTATTTCTAGTTCTCACTGTTCTAACTTTCTTTGTTCTTTCTTTCTAGTTCTTTATGTTCTTTCTTTCTTCTATTTCTCACTATCCACGATAGGAATCATGGTATCATGCATGGATGAGATGCAAATGCCCAAATGCAAAGAGATGCATTCTCTATCTTCTTTTCTGTTTCTTATTCTGTTTTCTTTTTGTTTTCTATATTTCTATATTTCTTTCTATTCTTTTCTTTCTTCTTCTTCTTCTTCTTCTTCTTTTCTTTCTTGCTTGCTTATTCTTTCTTCTTCTTTCTTATTCTTATTCTTTGCTGATCGGACTCAGTTGATGCATGGATTCAGAATCCTGTCTGTGTGAGCGAGTACAGTCCTCATCTACATGCACTCTTACAGACTGTACAAATTATTTTCTTCTTAGGCCACTCATTTAAGGTGGCGTATATGTAGGTATTTCTTCTGGGTACAGCCCTCATCCACATGCGCTCTTACGGGCCGTACAAATTCTTTTTCTTATTCTTAGGCCGCTCACTAAAGGCGGCATGCATGTGGGAATCTTCTTCTTCTTGTCACTCACGGGTTCCCCATCGCAACAACCTGTTCTTTTCTTCTTTTAAAGCATTCTAGCTTTTTCTTTCTTTCTTTTTATCCTTTAAATTCTTTAGTCTTTAAATTCTCATACATATGCATATGTTTGCATGTAAATGATTCATGCTATATTTAATGCAAGAATGCCATGTAGCATAAAAATAAGTCTTCCTCTATCATCTACATGCTCATAACAAGTTCATGAATAAATACTCTCATGCATACACATCTCTTGGACATTTCATCAAACATAATGCATGCATACGCAAATTTTATTTTAGCTATATTTCTACTACTTTCTCAAGCCACCAATATTTGGAGTAAAACTCCTTTAAATCAACACTAAACCTGGCTAGAAAAAAAATACACTTCATAATTCTTCTCAAACTCTCTCTAACTTCAACCCAACTTCTATCAATCACCACATAACAACTTCCACTTCTCATGGCTAAATTCTACTCATCCACAACCATCAATCTCATCAACAATTCTCAAAAACATAAACACATACATACATATAAAAATTCTTTACTCACTTGATGCCTCAAATCATAACTTGAGTTGGATTTACTTACCTTGAACTTGAATAACTTCACTAGAATCTCTCCCTCCTTGGTAGACCTTCACTTTCTCCAAAATCCTAAGCATATAAACTATAAGAATTCAACACTCTAATAATTAATCTCACATCTATTTGCAAGAATTCTTACCTTTGGATGCTCAGGATTGAATCTCTACCAAAAATCTAACCAAAAGTCCCCTAAAATACCTTGAAAATGGATGAAGAAATTGAGAGAATTGAGAGTGAAGGTGGCGTGTGAGGGAGTAGAGAATGATAGGGTTTTTGTGCTTGAACCCTTAATATCTCATATTAATAGGCATACTTTCCCATTTTGCCCTTACACTTTCTTAAAAATTCCATCTTTGCCTTGTAGTCAATTACAAAATTGCCCTTACCATCATTACATTCTCCATAAAATTTCCTTATTTTTCACTCCCCACATTTACAACTAATTAGGGGTAGAATGGTCACTTTGCCCCTAAGGAAATTTCTCTAGAATTTTGTCAAGAATTCCAGCTAGCTCTTTGCCCCGATGAAGGTTTTTCTTTGCCTCGGCGAAAAATTCCAGAGCATACGTCGCCGCGGTGAACTTTCTTCTTTGCCGCAGCGAAGTCTGCAATTCCCAACTTCGCCAATCCTCCACCTTAAAACAAGCAATACCACGGGCAAACAGGCAACACTAAGAGCATAGAAGCTTAACTAAGGGCGAACAAGCATAAAATAGG